CACACACACACACACACACACACACACACACACACACACACACACACACACACACACACACACCACCACCACCACCACCACCACCACCACCACCTTACTGACCTTAAAAGCCAGTAGGTGACTGCTCACCAAGTTGATCTGCTCAGCAAGTTTGTCTTTGTTTCTCTTCAAGGCAATGGAGGATATTAAGGAGCTTTGCTTCTTGCATTGTATGATGCTCTGTTCTACGCCAATCTGGAAGTAACATAACACAACATCATTTTGGATCAAATTCTGCATTTTTGGCGAAGTTGCCGAATTTCACAAACGATTATGTCTATAATCAATACAATAAGTACTTCTTTTATTTGCAATTTGAAAGAGAAATGTTATTATACCTTGCATTGTAAGGATTAATGTGAGATCGTTTCTGAGGATATCACAACAATGTTCAAGATCCTCCTGTTTTTCCCTAAAAAGGTAAAGGAAAGATAAAGCGGACAAATAAGTGATATCGAGACAAACATATCAGCTATATAAAACAATGCACTATTGATGAAATAGTGTTTTCACATAAACCTGTACTGTCGTGCTATCCGTTAGAGGTATTCCTAGCTATCTTGGTTATTTTCGCTGTGAAACAAGTCAAGGGCACCCAACGTTAATTTTCTGAAATTATCTGTTCGGAAGACGATTTGAGATCTAGAATTTTATGAACATTTGTTGTAAAATTTCTTGCTTGCCTGCCTTTCCTAGGATTTTCGAACATCTAAAGAATGGTATAATTACCCATTTTTAACGGGTTTTTACCTTAAAAAGGTCACCTAGAATTTTCGGGAGCCTTTTTTGTGACTGAAATTTTCGAAAAGGTAAGTTTTGATCCCTACAATTTTCGGATCACTAGCCTTTCATCTAGGAAATCCCAACAGATTTAGCGGATAAAAATGTGCTTATATTTACCGTTTAAATACTAAAATACGTTTCACAATGCTATGTTTAAGTGGATTTGAACTATATTCTTGTTGGGTGCCTCTGAGGTTTCTCAAAGTTTGTTGTCTAACACCCCCTTGGTGTGCCTGTGCTCAAATCAAGCGCCTTTATTAAGATCAGTGTACTATCTTAGACACAAAGTCAGCAAAACAGAAGCTTTCATTATTACCTTTATAAAAGATTGAATTTCTACAAAGGGGAATCACAAAGACCTTTTTACAATTAGATGATAATTAAACTGTATATCTTCGAGAATTTGAAGATTGGCTTTTCTCTTTTCCAGCTCATCTCTGTAACTCAACAAGTTCATCCGGGTCCTGTTTTAGACCTTCCAGCTCTTCTTTGCACTCTATTAAAATTAAATACAAAATATTTATCAGCTAATATGAGTTTTCACTGATTCTAGAAAAAAATATCTTTACATGTAGACAAAAAGAGAAAACAAACTCAGATTTGATGAAATCAGTTGCTACCTTTTCATGTAGACTACCAAAAGCTCTAATCCAGTTCAAAAGGTAAATAATACCATCCAATGGATAACTCTTTGCAAATCTCTATCCAGTATATAACACAATTGGTTTCCTTGAAACTTATCCCCTGAATTGTGATTTTTAGGTGGATAGTGCGATCCAACGTTTGAACAACTGGCCAGGTTCGGATTATCTATCATTCAGACATGTGTACTGGGCAGGCTTACAAGTTTGTGATTGAAGGAACTTAAGCATATTACTAACCTTTAATCCCCATTACCTGATGCATTTCAGATTCTAGCTTGACTGTTACTTTTCTCAGAGAAGCAATTTCTTCCTGGAGTGACTTCGTCTCCTCGCTTACATAAGATGACAGTTCAGGGTAATTCACAGACACGGCTGAAATTGACAGAGAATCTTTTTAAATGGTTTTTGAGTGTTCAGAAGCTGATTAACCAATGAATTATATTTACAAATGCTAAAAATAGCGTTTAAGTTTCAATTTTTTTCTTGGAGCTTCCTATCAGGTTTTCCTCACAAAGGAGCTGGCGGCTTCGGCTATTTGTAGCTTGTGCCAGGTTGTCAGATAGTAGGAACGAGGCAAAAATAACGCGTGCAAAATCAGGTCCCACTCGTTTCCCGCATCATTTTTTGCAGAGTGTAACAGGCTATGGCGATTGCAAATCTCGTCGGGTCTATTGCGGAAAGTCTGGCTATGGGCCTGTTCAACTTACGATCCCATTAAGTAAGTGCCTTGGCTCCAAACAAAGAAAAAGGAAAAATTTGCTGAGCTGTTAGAATTTAGATGCAAGATGCTGGTAGGAAGTAATGCTCACCTTTATACTCGCTGTGCGCTTTTCTACAAAGATTTCATTTTGTTTTTGGTTTGTTACTCTACCTTGTTCTGAACCATTCTCGAGCTCCCTGAGGAAAGTAAATATTTGTTCTGTATCCTCGTCTAAGTCAGAGGTATTTTTCTCCCTTTCAAGAGAAATCTCTTTTTCAGGTGCAGTGAGTTGACCTGCAGATGTTCCAGAGCCATGAGGCGGCATATCACTTTTTTCACCGCATCCTAAAGAGCCATCATACAGTGTTAGAGCAGTGGCGAGGAGCGCTGGTATAGGACTTTTGTTTTTTATCTTTGCGTTCCTTCCATAATCGTTGTTAGCATTGTCAAGCGTGTTATCTGCCCGTTCTTTACTAGTGGTAGGATCTTCTGATGGCTTGTTGATAACGGAAAACGGAAATGGATCAATGTGCTCCATATAAGATGCAGCTTTGGCTATTCTCTGCTTGGCTGATCTGATAGCGTCTGCCATGATCTCATGGGTTGTATCTTCATCGCTTCGACTATGATGAAAACAAGCAACCCCATGAATAGGATAAAAATAGCCGAGCGAGCAGTGAAATAAATAGTCCATCGGGGTTATTTATATCTAATATTTACAAACATGAACACATACAAAAATGGCATCGAAAGAATACTAAAAAAGAAATCAATACAGTTTGGGGATATACAAAAAATAAAAGATACTAAAATAAGTCTAGTTAGTGACAAAATCACAATACCGCTGGGTCAAAAATATAATGTTTAGACTATGTTTTGGTCTCTTTGTATTTATTGAAAATGATCGAGAGAACTCAGAAGCAGATCCAGGAGATTTTCATAGAGGAGTTCAAACTTGTGTGCACATTGTGATTGAAGCTAATGACTTCCGTCCTTTGGAGCCAGATACACTTTATGAAAGGCTCAAAACAAAAATACGTACTAGGGAGATGTTTCAAAGGTGTTTATGAATTAAATGAAATACACAACTGCTCACTATGGATGAGTGGCTGGCTGCGGTGGTTGAGAACTTTTCTTTTCCACTTTTGCTTTCCTTTCATGACCATTGTTACCACTGTCAGCCCTGTTTTTTGCTCTTTCTTTGGTTCTTCTTTTCTTGTTTTTTCTTTTCCGTGGTGTATAAGGAATCTCTGATGGTTTATCGACAAAGGAAAACAGAACTAAAAGTGGATCCATGTGCCCCCTGGAAGAAACATTTTTGACAATCCTCAAATTGGCAGATTTAAAAGTGTCTGCCATGATTTCCTCATCGCTTGGACTGCGATAAACACAAGCAGCACATGAATTAGAAACGAAATAGAGCGAGCGGGGAACATGTGCATGTACTAGTCCAGAGGGGTTATTGATCAAATTCTTGAATCAAATACAAACAAACGCAAAAAGATTAGGCAAAATACTGTAGAGTAAAAAGGTTTCAGGCATGTCAGGGGTAAAAAGAAAATAAAAAAAACTGCAAAAAAAATCTAACAAGTTATAACACTGGTAAAACTAGTTGGCACTTCAGATGCCGATCCAGCAGATTTTTAAGGATGAGTCCAAACTTGTGCATATACACATATACCCTTCCTGGCTGCAGTTACATATTAATGTATCAGTTAAGTTCAAGTTATTGCTCAGAAAATATTTTCAGTCTCGTGAATTTATTTAGAGCCGAATCTGGATTACTTAAATCCCGGTTACTCATTGAAACAGCTTTTGGGCTGTGGAATTTTAGTAACAGTTGAAATTCTGGTGCAACTGCTGACCCAGGAGGATAATACGAAATACGAAATTGCGCCCACAAGCTAGATTTTCAAAACTTTGTAGTTTACTGGATCAAGTCATTCTTTCTGAGCCTGCGTAGATGGCGTTTTAAGTGTGATCTTCGTTTTTGACGGCCGAACTCGAGTTCTCGACAACCCAGTTTAATCTGAAGGCATCTTCCTGTCGGTAGTTCCATCACTCAAAAATATTCACAGTGACCCTCACCTTTGGTTCATTGTCTCTTTAATAGTTTATGCTCCCTCAAAATGTAGAAGATGCTGGGAGAGGACATTTTGAAAGTTACTACTCACAACAAGTATTACATAATACTCATCATGGTATTATGGTTAAGTTGAACTCAATTGTTCCTGATAGAACATTCTTCATTGCTGGTTTTAATGTGACAGTCATGTCAAATGTTTTGTTTGTCTCGCTGATATAATCCGCTAGATCAATGCAGCCAGTAAAAATAAGCTGGCGCCTCCCATCTTTACACTCCTGCACGTAAGACAGAGAAACATGGTCAAAACAATAGCAACAAATATAGTTAATAAGGGAGTTACATCTCAAAGAAAATGTCAGTAGAAAACCGTATACTTTTGACTTCTGACCGACTATTTTCTTTTAAGCGCGAATGAAGTCGACATCTTAACTTTTTAGTCTCAAAATTAAGGACTGAGTCGCTCTTACCCCCCTCTTACCGCGATTTGATCAAGATCTGGGTAAAAATGGTCGAAACCGTTTACGATTTATATCCGCAGCCCAGTTGAGAGAGGGCCGGTATGCTGATCGGGAGGTCGTGGGTTCGAAGCCCGGCCGGACCAACACTCATGGTCGTTAACTAACTGAGAAAAAAGAGCTTCCTTTGTAATGACGTCTAAAAACGGTTAGACTTCTGGTCTTCTCGGATAAGGACGAAAAACCGTAGTAGGTCCCGTCTCACAGCACTTACACTTACCTGGTTCTTGTGGGACGTAAAAGAACCCACAACACTGTTCGAAAAGAGTAGGGGATGTAGACAGACCCCGGTGGTGTGGCCAACTTTCACAATCAGTCACATCACGGGTTGGGTTGGGTACAGTAAGCTCATAAACCGTGACTGAGAGCGGCTGCCAGTGGCACCTTTGTATGCTGACGTCTGAGTTTACTGTTCACACGTTAATATTTATTGTAAGAGGGCACATCTTTTGCCCGGGGGGAACTCCGCACATGAAATGGGTTGGGATGCTCGTCGTCTCGCTTAGGGGTGTAAATTTCGGATTTTGGTCTCACTTA